GGGTCGGAGTCGCGGCGAAGAAGAAGAAGAAGAAGAAGAAGAAGAAGAAGAAGAAAATAATAAAAATAATAAAAGGAAAATTGTCGTCGATTACTTATCTGCGAGGTGGCAACGACGATGTCGAGGATGGCACGGCACGGCACGGCGACGAGGACGATGGGCACGATGATGGCGACGTGGCATGACGACGACGAGCGCGACGGTGATGATGATGTCATGTCACGACGACGACGATCGCGACAATGACGATGATGACGTGGCACGACGATGATGGTCACGACGATGACGTGGTGCTATGACCACAATCACGACGATGATGCTGATGATCGCCAGGTGGTGACGACGAAGCAGGGTGGGTCGGGCGGGTCCGAACCGCTCCGATACCAGTGTGACGGGACTGAGGCAAGGAGGCTGGGAGAGAGGGGGAGAGAGTGAGAGCACACACACACACTCACTCAACTCGACGCAGACTCGACATGACTCGACGGACGCAGACACGAAGTGGCAAAGTCGCAAAGTCAAAGTCTTGGATTTCCGAATACAATGTCGAAGCAAATCACACTGAGTACGAGTACAACAGAAAACTGGTACGAGACTGGTCCCCGTACTGTACGGGGAACCGGTATAAGTATGGTGACATGTACGGTACCAGGGGCACCTCTGCAACAGCCCCGAGGGCAGAACTGAAAAATGTGGTATTTGGAAGTGGCACCCGAATTGTAGCATGGTGCCAGTTGTCCAAAATCCGACTTTACCAAAGGAGGGGTTTGGAAGAAGGGTGCCAGACCAAAAACGGGAAGTAGTGAAAGCAGCAACAAAATAGACCAGGGGTCGAGCCCTGATGGAGTCCGTAACATAGAGGAGCACGCCGAGCACTTAAAAATAGTGCTAGGTCTCCTAAGACAGCATCAATACAAGGTAAACTTGGAGAAATGCAAGTTTGGTCGCACCAAGATCTTGTACTTGGGTCATGAAATATCCGCGGATGGGTTGAGGGCCTTGAGGCCGGACGATGCTAAAGTGGCCAGTATACGAGACTGACCCAGACCTCAGACTGTTACTGAGGTCCGGTCATTTTTGGGGATGAAGGGCTATTATCGTCCGTTTGTTAAGAACTATAGCTTCCCCACCAACTCACCTAACTCGCCTTGACACCCCTTGGGAGTGGACTGAGGAGTGTGAAGCAAGCTTCAAGAAATTGAAGTATGCTCTAACACACTATGAAGTTCTCAAACTTCCGGACCCTAAGCAGCCATTTGTAGTGACCACAGACACCAACCAATATGGTATAGGCGCGGTCCTTGCACAAAGGGAAGGGAAAAAGTTGAGGCCAATCGAGTACATGAGCAAAAAGATGCTATCCCAAAAGCTAGCCAAGTCCACATATGAGCGTGAGCTCTATGCCCTCTACAGAGTGTTGATCCATTGGAGACATTATCTCCTAGGTAGATTCTTCTACTTGAGATCTGACCATGAGACCTTGCGCTGGATCAAGACACAGCTTGTACTCTTTGACGCACTCAAGCGGTGGATTCAAGTGATAGATATGTATGACTATCAACTTGATCCAATTGAGGGAGAGTACAACAAAGTGGTTGATGCACTATCACGTTGGGCAAATTATATGGGCGCGCTAGTGACTGGATTTGGCATATCTAACGATCTAACTCGATCTTTGGTATCAGCAAGATCTAGTTATGTCTGAGATCATCCGTAAATTCAAAGAGAAAGATAAATTAACTTTTGACAAATTTGCCATGGTAGATGGCTTGCTGTTTCTTGAGAAGGCAGGGAATAAAAGACTGTTTGTTCCAAATAGAGAGTCTTTACGTAGTTTATTTTTAGGGGAACAAGTGGACCCCCCGCGGCTACGCCGCGGGCAAAGAGGCAAATGTGACATCCAGAGGACGAAGCCCAAATGAGACGGGATGACACCACAGAAGACAAATGTACAATCACATGAAAAAGCGAAGTAGACAAAAGAGGAACAAATCCCGCGTGTTTGTTTTTCTCTCTGCTCGTCCTCGCCTCTGTCCCCCTGACACCGATGTGCAAAAGCCGAAATGTAAGCACTTTGTGTTTCTCTTTCAAAAACTTGGTGGACCGGGGATGATTGACAACAAAGAGGATGAGTCACAACATGCAATGGTTCCGGCAATGATTCAGAGGACAAAGTTGCCGTCGTGGCCAGCAGTTGTTCATTGCTCTGGATTGGTCGAAAACCACAGGAGTTGGAAAATTGTTTTAGTTTGAAGATGTGGCAACATGTGGATAATGTTGATTCGAATCCGTTCACTCAATCAACAATTACATCAGGGGTCCTAGGAAGTGAATTTAGGTAAGAAAATGATGAATCGAATACATTCCTCCTTCCGCCTCCATCCTCCATCCATCATCAATGTCCCTATCTGTTTCTTTCATCCTCGTTGTCCCTTGGTACTCCCTCCTGCTTCCTCCGCTTGTCTATGGATTGTCATCGTTTTGTCCTCGTCGATGCTGGCTCGTCATCTATCCATCTTCCACCGTCCTCGCCGCCCCTTGCTAATCCCATCACCCTTCTCTGGTCTATCGGGTCATCGTCCTTTCGTTCTACATTACCCTTCTCCCGCGCTGCTCGTTTTCATGGGCAAAATTGTTGTTCTCGTTCTTCCTCGTCCCTCTTTCTCCCTTCCTTCTCCGCATCTCCTTTTCTTATTGTCTTTCCTTTGCATGTTCCTTTTCCTTCTCTGGCTTTGTGCCATAAGAGTTTCCAACATTTCCTCATGTCCTTTTTATTTGTGCTTGTGTTGTTCATCTTTCCCCTCGCCCTCTCCTTTACTCCCATATAGCTCGAAACATTTCGCTCATCTCCTCCTCCTTTTCCCTTTGCGCGCTCTCTCTTTTCCTTCATTTTTTATTCTTATTTTCAACAGAATGCACAGCAAAGAGACCGTGCCTGTTCATCATTCTTGTGTGCATCCTCCTCCTCCCGGGATGTTTCACATGT